ATTAATTGTATTGTGGAGCAAAATGTACATGTTTTTTACTTTCATATTTATTTTGTAATTGTTACGTGTGATTACGTTTGCGTAAATGACTGAAATTTTGCAGCTAATGAGCAACCTCGTGTGGGAGACGCAAAATAACGCGTCATACTTCTGAATTACGTTTATAAAGTTTAAAGCTAATTAGTACTCCCTAATACATGAACTATTTCGCATCTAAAAATGCATTTAGGACTTTGAAAAGTAGAAATATGCACTCATTCTCGCTTTGTCTGTGATACAAATCGTAACAGAATTAAAAAATACACAGTTTGCGTTTGCATTGTATTTTCTCGTTATCTCGAGATCGCTATTTTATCTGAGAGATATCATAAAGCCATCTCAGGCATGTTGACAATGTTTGTATAATATCTATCCGTGTTGACCTCCACGAAATGGTACGATTTACCGTGCCTTCCAGTTCAGTGGCTTATATGGTTCCCGAACATCGGGATTGATTTTATTTTATTACCCTAACTTTGATAAATTTGCGAAAATATTTATTTACGGGCAGCCAGGGAGCCTACATGCAAAACATACATTATATGTATATAATACTAGCTATACACAAGGTTTCGTTCGTTTAACTAGAACGAATAAAATGACCTTATTAAATAGTAGCCTATATTCATCTTCAAATTTAAATCATATTTATTTAAATAGACTCGTTTATAAGCACTTTTAAATCGTCATTTTTATGAATCTATTGCAGACATCGGAATATTCTTATCTGCTGAGAAGAACTCTCAATAAATTCAATAGTTACTCTTTTAAATCTACGTTAAGATTTATTTAGTAAGTATTTATTTTAATGTATTCGTACTATAACGTTATTAGGTTTAGGTTACTACGTTGTTGTATGAAAATATAGAATGAATTGTTACTCTTTTCCACTTTGGGTGTTGCTGGAAGAGAAATCTTGTAAAGTTAAGCTCACCTTTGTATAATACATTTGATTTCTACTGTCAAATTTCCGTATGTATTTTATAAAATATTAAAATATTTTATAAGATATTGATTAAATAAAGAGTGAATAAAGAATAAAGACTTATACTTGGCAGTCGCTTAAAAATAGAATCTATGGTAATACCGCCGTCGACCTACGCTTGCATCGTGTATTGCAGTGTTTTTCAATCTTTTTCATGACGCGATCCCCTTATTATGTAAAAATATCTTGATACTTCCTACTCTCCACGATTTCGAATGTGTATGAATTTTATTTTAGTGCAATTATGAAATTAATTATAAACACATGTATTTATATTCACAGTTAGGTATGAATAAAATAAATAATACATAATAAAGTATTTAATACAGACATGTAATCGATGTCTGTTATAGATACTTCATTATGTATCATTGATTGATTGATATATTTACGAAACTGTTGATTTTTCACTGCTTCGCGACCTTCCACGACCCCCTTGTTAGAGGCTCGGGGAGCCCCCGAGGGGTTGCGACCCACACATTGAAAAACACTGGTGTATTGTGTCCGTTCGTGACCCGCCGTTGCCGTCAAATATTTGTTGCCCTCTAATTTAACGCATGACAAATATTTTATTTGCAAGTGTACACATAATATAATTATTTTAATATATTCACTCAATCACACATCCGCTACTGGGATTTGATCATTATATTATGTAATGAACGTGCTCGCGACTGTATCTCCCGATGGGGCAGTCTGAGCCATCACCTGATTTGGTGGCGAACGTAATACTCGTACTTGACACGTTCATAATACGCGGAGCATATTTGAATTTGATATGGTAATTTATTAATAGTGTTTTCGGTCACCAGAAAAATAGTCGAGAAATTTAAATATATAATTTATATCTTTAAATTATTTAAACATATATATTACAAATTCCCAATTAAACAATATTTCTTAATAATATAATATAATTAAACATTTTTCCTGGATTCCTGAGATATATATTTCTGATCTAGTTTAGGGTCCACTCTCCCACAAGTTGTACAGAGTATTGCATTTATGCATTTATACATATATAGTTGTATATTTTAATGTAGCTGTCTTTTTCTGTAAAATTTGTGAAGAAAATAAATAAATATATTATTAAATCTATTATTATTATTATTCCTAATTTCTTTGTCGTGTAAATACACGATTTTTTAATAAAACTAGTTAAAGCAACTAATTACATAGTATGAAAGTGACGTGAAACTAGCGTGACTAAAGTTCGTATTGAGTTCCGCGTGCTCTGTAACTAACCGGAAATTTACAGAGCTCAGTCTCGTACGCTATGAGCTATTAAAACTATAGATCCTTCAAATTAATTTTACTTTAAAACCTCCATTCATGATAGAAACAGGTTCTCGATTCAGTTGTATTTTTTTAATGTTTGTTCCCTCTTAACTCCGTCGGTAGTAAATTGATTTGAAATTTTTTTTATTCTTACAGCTTTGTTCCATAGAAATTTTATTAAAATCAAAATGGCTCGTTTGGCCACAATTGATGTCGGTGTTTTGTGGAAAACAATTTCATTTTGTTTTATTAAAATTTTTACTTGAACAGTTTTGTTTTGCTTTGAAGGGTAAGATATATTTATTATATAGGGCAAGATGATATTGAAATTACAAAAAATGGAGGCATAAGGAAATACAGAAATCATTAGGAATGTCCAACGTATTTAGGGCGTCACAGGTGACTACAGTGTGCTTGTATTTTGTGATGACGGTATGTAGGTGACGGTTCACATTTTCCTTATAAAAAAAAAGTACTAATTTTTAACAAAATACATGAAAATATAGTTCTAAATATATTTTTTTTAATTTTATTACACCCCAGGGGGCAAAAGAACTTGCGACTCACCTGATGGTAAGTGACTATCGCCGCCCATGATCACCCACAACACCAACGGCATTGCAGGTGTGCTGCCGGCCTTTTAAAAAGGAATACACTCTTTTCTTGAAGGTTACTATGTCATATCGGTTCGGAAATACTGCTGCGGAAGTTGATTCCAAAGAGTGGTTGTGGGTGAAAGAAAGTGTCTTGAAAAACGCACGATGGAAGAGCGCCACTCATCCAGATGGTTGGGATAAAACTTTAGTTTATAGCGGGTTGTACGGTGGTGAAATTACGTTTAAATATAGTTTATATTAACATATATTTAGATTAAGAAGATGAAATCTGTGCGCCGTAATTCGGAGGATTCAATATCGACTTTCATTATCTTCGACAATATCCCGCATTCACCACAATAATACTAACATTACCGTTTGGGGTAGCTGCACTACAACACTACAGGTTCGTTATTTAATAAATTGATTTGAGACGATGCTAATGTAATATGGGATCAGCTATTAATAGTTACGGTTGTATTCAGTATCGTTATTAGATTTAAATTAAAATAAAATAGATTAGTAACTACAACTAATATTTATTTGTTTTAAATTTAAAATTAATTTTGATAAAAGAAGAAATAAATATTTTTATTCAAGTAAACTTAGATTGAAACATTTTTTAATAGCATATTTTTTTTCATTACCAAACGAAATTTCAAAACGAAATTTCCGCCATGAAGAACGGGCAAGAAATTCATCTGTTGCTTTTTTTTTTTTAAATTTTAATTGTAAAAATAATGAATTTGTGTGAATACAAACTACAAAGCAACATCAGATCATACAAAAAATTGTTTCTTTACATATGTTTCAATTGTAAATCTAATACGGATGATATCATTTAGCGTAACTCGCCCGTGTGATCAGCGCGTTGGTCGCACTCGTAGTATTTCCGTCTAAGACTTGAGATAACCAGCAATTAATTATACAATAACGTTTACGTAACAGTTGTCTTGAAAAGATTGCTTTCAACAATACAAAAAAAAAAAACAATAAGACCACCTTACTATACTTATACAACTCTATCGTTGCATTTATGGGTTCGATCCCCGGCCAGGTCATGATGGAAAACGATCTTTTCCTGATTGTCCTGGGTCTTGGATGTTTATCTATATATGTATCTATTATAAATATAGTATCGTTGAGTTAGTATCCCATAACACAAGTCTAGAACCTACTTTGGGGCTAGCTCAATCTGTGTGATTTGTCCGTATATATGTATATGTATGTATGTATATGTATTTATTAATTGTCTTGTTTATTATATAATATAATGCAAATAAAGTATACTCCTTCGTTCATTCCGTTTTCTTATTTATTACTCCTCATACTTAAATGTATGAAAAAATAAAAAAAAATGAGATAGTGAAGTCCATATTGTTTAATATTAGCTTACTCACCACATTCTTTCAGTCTGATGATAGACACATACTTGAGGAATCATTCAAGGAAGGAAAATTATAAATATATTTAATTGTTTGAAGAGTGCAATATGGTAATTAAATTATATGGTACGAAGTCATAACACCTTAATCCTCAGGAATTTCGACGTATGAAGGGTGTCATGAGAGTATGCTGTGTCTATACTCTGTTATGTTCACAGTACTAATCATGTCTATAGGCGAAGGTTACCACTTTCCATAAGACGGCCTCTCAGCTTGTTTAGCATTATAGGTTGCTTAAGAAGAGTGGAATTATTTCTTTCCTTAATTATTATCAAGATACTGTTACCGCTCCTCCATACTCAATGCATGAATAAACGAGTCTTTTTACGAATATTTTATACGTGTATTACTTATTAACACTGTTTGGTCCCCTCTACGGTCACGAACTAGGATCGCTTTTTCCTATTGATATAAAAAATATCATATTTGATTTACAAAATTCATTAAAATGAATTGATCAGAAGATTAGTGTGTACGTATATAGTGGTACGGGATATTTAAACTTTAAGACAAAATTAATATACGAAAATCTTTCATGGGAACTGTATGGTGGTCCATGGTCCATGGTCTATGGTCTATGGTCCATGCCAGGGTGCAGGGTGTGCGGTGCGCGCGAGGGGCGGGCGGGGCGCGCTGTGTGGCGGCGCGCCGGCTTGACACACTGACGGACCGACCGCCGGCGCGCTACCACTCGCGACCTGCCGCCCGCGCTCGCCCACCCGACATCCACTTACAGCTAATACTACTGTCACTACCAAACTGCACCAACATAATACATGAGAATATTATTCTTATGCAAAGTATGCTATAAGAAGTACAACTGCAGTGCTCCGTGCCGACTGCGTGGCCTGTGAAAAGTTGCGCGCGGGAAAACTTTCAGTGAAGTTAGCGTGTGTGAACAGGTGATCAGTGTTGATGCATTGTGCACTTGTGCGCCTCTAGACCTCTGTATTGTCTCCACCGGGGAATACACCGCTTATTGCTTCATTATACTAGGTAAGTTTTTTTTTGTTAGTTTTTTTTTCACATATTTTATTTAATAGAAAGAAAAGGTAGGTAGGTAGGTCGGGTTTTTTTATAAAAGTATTTTATTTTAAAAAATAATATAAAATGTAACTTTATCTTAGTTTAAGTTTTTTTTTTAACAATGTTTTTAATATAAAATGCAATAGAATAACGAGCGCGGATTCAAATCTTAATCCAACTTTGAAATTTTTCAGTCACTCAGTAACTTATTTTGGAATATGATTTTTATATTAAAATATATTTTTTTTTGAGAAACTCATAAGACAAATTGTTCAAATGTATAATATGTATACAAACATAAAATTGGAACAAAGTTTTTTACAATTAACACGTAATGAATACTCGAAATTAGACCAAGTGCCAACATACAACGCTAATTATATCATAAATATTTTTAAACTTATTCTAATGATTTTATTATATAACTTCAACTTAATTGATAAATGATTTCTATATGCAATTTAAAGCGTCGTTCGCTCAAAAAGCGAAGACGTGCATCGTACGCAACACCGCGGCTCACCGCCGCCGCGCCGCGCCGCGTCGTCGCGGTATCGCTCTTAACCTTTGTCTAAAATTAACTTCCAAAACTGTAACTACACCTAATTCATTCAATAAAACAGACGTCTTATTACGAACAATAATTGTGCGATAGATAGCACGTGCACTAAATAATGAGTTGCCGAGCCTGACCTTTGAGCAGTGCAAACGCAAGCCAAATTGTCGTAGCAACATATTCGGTACGTACGGATACATTCCGCTAGCATTCGCTTTCCACTTTGTAACATTGTTTTTTCTTTTATCTATATTGAAATCTTTATAAAAACAATATAAGGCAGTTTTGAGATTTCAACTGTACACACAGATATATAATATTGATGTTTTCTTTTTTGTAATTAATATATTATTGTGGTCAAGTTTTTGATAACCTTTTGTCTGTAAATCAGTCGGATCGGAAACGTGATTAGTTGACTGGTTCAGCCATGAGTATAAAAATACAGTTATGCTTTAATTTTTTCTAATTCTTTATTGTACACAAACATAATGTTAAGAACAATTAATTTTAAACGTAATGTTATCTCAAACAAATCAGTCAATTGAGTCAGATATGAAATTGAAGAAGCGGTTTGAACTGGAATTCAGTCGTACAATTCCCGGGTTGTCATGAAACGTTTCACCGACTGAATTTAAACATACATTAAGGATGAAATGTTCTCAAATTGCGTACGCCTGATTATAAGATTTTTTATCATGTATCTTCTTCTTTGTGCCCTTATCGCATACCATTTGGTATCGTCGTAATATGTCAGCGTATTTTTCATCAAGTACATTTACTGTAAAAATAACATTACAACAAAAGCATTCGATGAAAGATCTGCCATTAAGACGTTGCAATATAAATACATTATTATTTTTCTTTGTTGATCGCAGCATCATAAAAATCACTTTTATTGCACCTCTCTAAAGTTTTATATATTTTTTAATTTATTTTTATTTAATCTAATTTAGTTCAGAATTGCTAAAGAAGTTATTTAAAAATGTATTCCAATCAGCTAAAGCAAATAGTACAACAGAAAGATAATCGCTTTTTCAAATCTTAGGTGTACTTGACCTCGATACAAAGACTTTTGTTGTACAAGTCGCAAGTCCGGCCCGTCATGGAGTACTGCTCTCATCTGTGGACTGGAGCACCTAAATACCAGCTGGGTCCTCTTGATTCGGTTTAAAGACGGGCTGTGAGAATTGTTGACGATCCCAAGCTCATAGGCGGTATCGAGCCCTTAAATCTAAGGCAAGACTTTGCCTCCCTTTGTGTATTCTACCGCTTGTATAACAGATTCTGTTCTGACGCATTGTTTAAATTGATGCCTACAGCCATCTTTTATCATCGCACCGCTCGCCATCGACAGGGAATTCATGCTCACACACTTGAACCTAAATGGTCACGTACAGAGAAATTTACTTCCACGAACGCTTAGGCTGTGGAATGAGCTCCCTGCCGAGGTTTTCCCTAGAGACAACAGTATGGGATTCTTCAAAAAGGGTATATTAAGGTTCTTCAGGGTCAGTATCGGGCACGTGATACCCCCAGTGTATCAGGCGTCCACAGGCTAGAGTGATCGTTTACCATCAGACTTGTATGCCACCTTTGTGATATAAAAAAAATCTAAATTGGTTTAGCAGGAACTAAGGGCCTTCTTACTAGTATTTTTTTTAAATGTTATAATAAGGGTTAAATTAAAATGTTAACTGCACTATTGATATACGCTGGCGAGGAACCAGTGTGGAAAAAATAAGGTAAGAATGAAAGCAGGTCAATTAGGCCATCGTGTCGAATTGCGCAAGAATTAACCACGATAGTTTTCTGGGAGCACCGCGTAAAAATTTACTTGATAGGATATATTGCTGTGGCAAAGTCGCACCAAACGGGATCCTTTGTACCTTTTTGTTTTCCGTGACAAAGAAATGGAAAGGAACTCTAAAAATGACTGTTACCTGATATGTGCGTCGATGGACACTTAAAGGTGTAGTCAAGTACGTCACGTCAGAGATTTTCATGTATAGAGAAAGCGGTCCAGAAACACTTGACACCAGAGGGAGACACCATCCTTGTAGTAATGGGGAACATTGAACAGTTTTATAAAGTATTCAATTGATTTTAGCTTCTCTTTCTCGTTTCGTTACGCCCTGTTTGACATTGAAAAATTTCTGCATTTTAATTTATAACAAAGCTCGTGTCTACCCTTTTAAAGCTTTTTTTAATTGTTCAATTCCATTAAGAGGTTTTAGCTGTATAATTTAATATCTGAATAAGTATTCAATGCAAAATCTAAAAACAATTGAAACAAAAACAAATTGAAAACATAAAGCTTTTCAATTCGATTTATTTTATTCGATGGTGCTCGGCTGCGGAGAATCAGACGCTGTCGACGAAACCGTAGTTTATTTCTCCCCTATATACGACCGAGTGAAGTGTACGCTTTTAAAATAACTAGTTATTTTAATATAAAAAGAATGCAATATTTATTATTATGACGATGCTTCTCACTCGTCTTTTGTATAATCTGCTTTTTCTTGTCTTGTCAGAATTGTAAACAAATGAATGAAATTGCTTATTTACGTAAAAATGGACATAAAAATAATAAACTGCAATAAAAAATAATTATTTACAACAGAAACGTTTTTAAGCTGGCAATTTGTTAATATTATTGACCGTTATTTCAATTATAAGTGGGCGGGGCCGGGTCGCCACAACACGCCTGTTAAATTAGTTTTTGACAGTTAATGACCGCTATATATTTATTTTATAATATCAGCATGTTGTCTCTCACTCCCACATATAATACGAATATAACTGCATCCTGTTTATTGAAAACTCTAAAAGTCCTGTAGGATGCAACTTGCGATCGACATCCAGAATAAATACCACTTATTCTTATTTCCATAATTCAATCAATCAATAAGTCATTTTTTTAAGGGTGAAAATGGTATGGTAACCCCGCCTGCGTTAATGGTATACGCTGGCGGAGCACCAGTGAAGGGTGATAGATGAGAATGAAAACAGGCCAGTTAGCCCATCATGATGAATTCATCAGGAATTAACCATGATAGTTTCCAGGGGGAACCGCGAGGAGGTCTACCTGGTTGGGTATATTGCTAGCAATGGGATTCTGTCTCCATCGCTAACAATCCCTTTCATCCCAGTCATTTATTTTATTACATTCCACCATACTTCTACCAAAATAATCAGAGCTTATACTCTGTAATGACAATGAATATGTAATGATAATCATGTAATGATAATTGTCCTTACTAATATTATGAATGTGAAAGTGAGTTTGATACTTTACGGCCTTACTGTCCACTGACTTAACTAATCACCATGAAGTTTGGTATACACGTATAGATACAGGATGTAGAAGGATATAGGGTACTTTTTATCGACAAAGTCGCCGGTAAAAGCTACATCTAAATAAAGTCTTTTTCCTTTTAATATACCTACAAAGAAAACTCATGAGAATTTTGTAATGTGCGGGGTTCGAAGCCGCGATCATCAGAAGATGAGAGAACGTTGTGTTAAACCACTATTAAAGTTAAATTAAAGACCTCACCGGCTACAAGTTTGTTTAACTTGTTTAAGATTTGATTCAATTAATACGAGTGTACTAATTTAACGGCCGAGTAGTCCACTTAACAAGAAACCTTTTCATCAATGTCTCCGCAGTCAGCAAGGAGGGAACAGTGTTTAGAAAAGTAGCAATTTAAAGAAATTTGTGAGCAATTTGCCGCGGTCGGCCGGAGTTGTGTCGCCGTCTCTTTGCTATTATTGTATACGACATTTAAAACTAACGAATCGTATTTACAATTTATTCATTTTGTTTGAGGAGATGTCTCTTTACAAGCTTTATCTATGTGATTATGTTTATTAACTTTTTTTATATACAACTTGGAATGATGAACAAGCTGAAGTCTACGTGATGAAAAGTTGTAGTCGCCGAATAGAAATGAGCTACACCACGGGCATCATGGACATTTCTCATATGTTGCTATTTTTGAGGTGTAACTAACTGAGGTTTGTTATTTGCCGTGTGGTCCCGGCATAGAATAGGCCGTCCTTTCCTTTCTCGTGGGTGTTGTAAGAGGCGAATAAGGAAGGACGTGGGATGGGCAGCAGCGTCCCTATTAAAACATCTTCAAAGGCTAACTGCGGTTGTTAATCCTCTTGCCAAGCGTGGCAACTATTGCTAATATCCCCAAGGGAGAGGCTTATATTCATCGGTGGACGGTTGACGGTTGATCTGATGATGATGAACTTTGTTGTGACTCCGTAATTGTAATTTGATTTCATATTTCGTTATATAGTAAGCATAATGTGCGGTAGAAGTTTCATTTCTAGCTGTTTTACCAGTAGATAATATATATTTGTCGTCTTGGTTACCAATACATAAAAATTCAATCATCATCGTGGAACA